TCATTTTTGTAAGTTTATTTTTTATTTTCCGTATTTTCATCTATAAAATAGCTGTTTGTGGCAAATTAAATTAATTATTTTGTTTTTTGTGAGAAATTCAATAAAAATTATTATATACTCGGAGCTTTGCTTTCTATTCTGCCCGGACCTTTTATGGGATGATAATATTGAAATGATTTTATTATTATAATGCAACAAAATAAATAAAAAATGAATATTACCATAAATAGTTATTTTTATTAAATTAATTTTTTTTATAATCAAAATTAACTATATTTAAATATTTATAAATGTTGATTTTTATGTATTATTTACTATACAATTACATTATAAGCAAAAAATAAAACAAATTTATTTCTAAATTTTTTTTTATAAAAGTAGCTTAAAAAGTAGACAAAGCTACTTTTAAAGAATAGTAGCTAATAGCACTCTACATTTTTTGATGAATAGCTATAGCGGTATCGCGCTACTGCTGCTGAAAATGCTTAAATAAACTTAAATGTTTAGGTAAAATTTTTTGATATATACTCTATTAATTGAAATGAGATTCATTTTCTTATGATATAAATAACTTAAATAAATTAAATTATTAGATAAATTAATTTTATTTAATTTATTTTAAAATTTTACATTCATATCAAACTAAAAAATCAGGCTTATATAACAATTTTCATATTAATATATAAAAAAATCAATCTACACAATTTATATAAAAAAAAATCAATTTATATAAACATAAAAAAAACAATTTAAAGGTTAGTATTAATCGGTCATATCAACATTCCACCCTTTAAAAAAATGATCTCCACTCAGGTTTTTCTTGCATGTGAATCTAATCGTGCAGTCAACGTTTCTTGATAGTTTTATTGTTATCATTAGTATATTTCATTAACTTTTGCTATTGAAAGTTTATTTAAAAGAAAAATATTTTATTATATTATATATTTTTAGTCTTTATTTCATTAAAAAATTATCGAATTTTTTGGGCAAAATTATATTCCTGCTAGGTCTTTGACTAACAAGACCCTGTTCTTGTAATCCTAAATTTGGATCATCATTTCTTCTAAAACTTACAGTAAAAGGTATTGCATTTGTTTTCACATGTGTCGTTTCATCAAGAGGTGCGCTACTCGTAGACCTTTTTTTTAATTTGGTCTAAATGTTTTCTAATAATTTTGTCTCCTGTTTCAACTTCAAATGTTAATTTCCCATTTTTAAATTTTATCGTGCCTTTGTCCCACATATTACCCTTGAAGGTTTTTTTACCATACTTTGTCACCATGTTTATTTGACGATAAATTGCGATCAAATTCGTTCACTTTATCTTCTTGCGGTTTGATTAAATCCCATGTGTTTCTTATGGTTCTCTTGAACATCATTCGCTTGGTATCTTGTTGGTTGTCGCGTTTGGTGTGTTTCGATAATTAAATAAAAACTTTTCTAAAGCTATATCTAAGTCTATTTTATTATTACTTTCCATATTCCTTTTCACGCATATTTTATTGATCTTATCATTCGCTCACACTGACCATTGGACTGTTGGTGGTGAGGCGCGGTGAAAATGTGATCAATTCCATGATCACTACAAAATTATTTGAACAAGCTACTTGTAAGATTCGTACCATTATCGCTGACTATCATATCGGGTATACCAAACAAACTGATTATTTTTAATAATTCTTTAATTGTAGACTCAGTAGTTATATCTCTCATTCTTCTAATGATAGGGAATTTGCTAAATGCGTAAACACATACCAAGAAATTGCTACCTTCAAACTGTGCAAAGTCGATGTGCACGCGTTCGAACACTTTTACAGCTGTTTCCCATGGATTTTGTACAATGAGGATTGTTCGCATATTTATTACACGTATCACAGCTTCTCATCTCCTGATCTATTTCAGCGTTTAGACCTGGCCACCACAAGTAATCTCTCGCCAACAATTTTGTTTTCCACCAAGATGCCCTTTGTGTAATTCCTGTAATATCTCAATGATTATATTCTCTTTAAAAAGACAATCTTTAATTAAGCTCAGTTCCATTCCATATTTTTATATATTTTATTCTTTATCTGTTCATGATTCTTTATATTGTTAATTACCTCCATTAATTCGATATCAATACTAGTTTCTTGAACTATTCTTTTAAAATTTATTGGTAAATCCCAAAATTTGTCATCAATTTTTTTATCATCTATCTCTTGTATCATTTCTTTTGTGTTCATTTGGGGTAATCTTGACAAACAATCCGGTACTATATTTCGTTTCCCGGGTCTATGAATTATCGTAAAGTCATAAGCTCTCATAGCCAAACTCCATTTTTGAAGTCGCATTGATATGGATGAATTATCCTTAAGTCCCTTCGTAAATATATAAACGAGTGACTTGTGATCTGTGATTATTGTAAATCTCGTACCAATTAAATATTCTTTTGAAACTTTTTTACCGCGTATATAACAGATAAAGCTTCCCTCTCTATATTAGTGTAATTAAACTCTGATTTTAATAAAGCTCTTGATGCGAAAGCAATGGGTTTCTCTTTACCAACACCTTCAATATGAAATAAGACTGCGCCTAGACCTTTCTTTGAAGCATCAGTTGCAATGCCTATTGGTAGATCCGGATTATAAAAATTTAACGTAGGCGGAGTACTTATCAGATTTTTTAGGTCGTCGAAGCTTTCTTGATGTGTATTATCCCATAACCATTTGTCTTTATTAACCATTTTGTATAAAGGATCAGCTATGTCCGCAAAATTACATAAAAATTTTCGATAATAGCTCGCCATCCCCAAAAATGTTGTCAATTCATCTTTTGTCTTCGGTTCCGGTGTAACGTCCCAGAATCACTCATGTATTTAAATCACTCTTTATGGCCTATTTTAATGAGTAAATTTAATACTTATTCTTCTATTATAATGTATTTACATATCTGAGTAAGTTTTTACCAGTGTATTTGCAATAATGATATATTTTTAAAAAATGTTTTATAATTTAATTTCAATTTTTTCTAACTTGTCAATCAAAAAACATAAATTTTCTATAAAATTATTATTTTTGACCCTTTTCCTCTTAGCAATGACAGTTGATAATGAAGAAAGTAAATTAAATATTTAATATTTATATAACTTTTTTAGATTATGAAGAAATTAATAACTTCATAATGTACCATAAGTATCCCACCCGTTTAGCAAAGAACAATGGGGAAAAGAGGAATTTAAGGGTGAAAGCATCTAGGTTTACTATGCGCAAAGAAAAATTATATCACCATAAAAATAATGGGGAAGTTATTATTAACATAATTAGGAGAAAAGAAATTATTAAATCACATCACAGTGGTTGTGATGATAATATTGAAGCAGTCTCTCTTGCTGGCCATTTTGGCATTAACAAGACTTATAAAAAATTGGCTGATAGGTAAAATGTATTTATTGTCATAATTAATATTATATTTTAGCTTCTGGTGGCCAATATGAAAAATGATGTAGTCACATTTATTAATTCCTGTGACACTTGTCAAAGATGTAATACAAGATTTGATAAAACTACAAATGAGTTACAATCAATTCCTGTTAGAGCAAAGGTAGTAAAATTTATTATATAAAAATCATTGATTTGTTAAATTTTTTATAGTTTTAGTCATTTTAACTGTATATAATGTTTTTTTATATATTTTTTACTTATAGTTTTTTTAATGGTAGGACAATATTATATATATGTGACACTTATTTTTATATATTATGTTATTTTCACATATTGAACCATTTAAATTTTAAGTTAGTTTATTATATCTTCTTTCCTTATTAGAAGAACCATATAAAGTGGTAGGTAAGCAAATTTATTAAATTATCCATTGATCTTTTTACATGAAATATATGATATATCCATTTTAGTTTATATAGTAAAGCCTCTACAATTTCAGGTTATAATTTATATGAATTTTCTTACTTGGCCCATCTCTAACCTTTTAACCACACTAAAATTAATTAACAAGATTAACTCTTTTTAATATAATAAAAAAATTTTTATAACAGGTATGGTCACAAATAGGAGTAGATTTGTGTACTTTTCCAGAAAGTGAGGATGGGTATAAATATATTGCAGTAGCTGTTGATTACTTCAGCAAATATGTTGTAGCCATGCCTTTAAAAGATAAAACTGCTAAATCAGTATCGAGATTCCTTTATTCATTACTATGCAATATGGCAGGGCAAAAGTATGATTTATTTGATAATAAAATATTAATTTTAGTTTTAAGATTCAAATTAATGATCAAGGACGGGAGTTTGTGAATGAAGTTAGCACTAATTATCACAAACTCGTGGGGACCATGCAGAGGGTGACAAGTGCTTATCACCCTCAAGCAAATGGCATGGTTGAAAGGGTGAATAGAACTATCCAAAATGAACTTCTAAAGTGTATTAAAGATGATCAATTGACTTGGACAGATGCCCTGCCTGGCATATTATTTGCCTATAACACATCTGATCATGAATCTTCGAAATTCACGCCCTTTGAGCTGATGTATGGTAGAAAAACAATACAAGCTTGTGGGGTATAATAAACTAATTATAAATCATATACTATATATTTTATACTTAATTATATTTAAGGATGATGAAGATTATGATATAGATCCAGATAATGTTGAGGAGATAGATAAGGAAAAACATTTTCAAAGTGTTGTTTGCAAGATGCAAGACATACATAATATTGCCATAGGCAATATTAATTTAGCCCAGCTTAAGCAGCAGAGGGATTACAGAACCCGCAATACTGGGAAAAATACTCCCTATAAAATCAATGATAAGGCGCTTATCTAGAACAGCCGTCGAGCTGATAGGAAGGGTGGGAAAATGACACGGCCTTGGCTGGGTCCTTTTACAATAGTTGGGATTGACAAAAGTATAAATTATGATTTTTAACAACAAAATATTTATAATATTTAGGCAATGTAGAGCTAATGAGTGCCTGTGGGAGACAGATAAAAACCCGAGCAAATATTTGTAACATAAAACATTATGTTACAAGAAAAGGTATGGTTTATAAATAAATTAATTTTATATTTATATATGTTAGCGGCAATGTGAAAATTCCGGCAATGTGTTATTTTTTCAACGCTAACATATATTTATCAAGATGACACAATTAAAGCAGGACAGAAAAAAGGTTAAAACTTTTAAAAATTTATTAAATAACTTTTAAACAGTTCCCAGGTTACCAAGTAAAAAGTTTTATTCTTCTACCATTAAAAATGTATACAGTTGACTTAATTATTAAATAATATTCCTTTTTTTAGATGATGAAGAAAATTTTCAAGAACCATCAATTAAAAATGTAAAGCTTAATTCGGAAGAAAATCATATGAAGGGTAATATTTTAATATTTAATATTAAATCTTTTTTAAAATGTCTAGTTTTAAAATTACTAAATACGATAGTTGGAGAGGATTATAATTGTCAAAACAAAAAAGGTATAATAAAAAAATATTTAATATACATATATGATGGAGTTAAAACAATCAGTGAAGCATTGAAAATGCTAAAGCCTGATGTTGATAAAATTGATTTTTTAATATAATAGTTGCCCCGCCTCACAATTTGAAGATTGTAGATTGCGAAGTGGGCATGCAAAATAAGAAAGGTAAAAATTTGTATAATTAGTAGATTAATACATATTTTTTAGATGGTGAAATTATATTAGATACTGTAATTTCTAAGAAAGAGGAGACAAATCTTTTTCTGCCTACTAATAGAAATTGGAAAATATATCATTCTGAACGCTTTCATTTTGCGATCAAGAAAAGATATCCAAAATATGATAAGGGTGTGATTGGAAATGATCATTCTACCGAACGGATTATTGGTGATGGAAATTGTCTCTTTAGGTATTTTTATTTACAATAAATTATTGTTAATCATTATTATAGATGTATAAGCAAAGACGTTTGTGATGACGAATGCCATTATAATTTTCTGAGACAGCAATGCTGTCTCTTTATGAGAAGCAAAGATATTGTTGAACAGATAGAGTGGTTTTTGGGAGAACCCGTTATATTTGGAGAGAACGGGCATGGCCCTAAATGCAACTTATGGAACAGAGGTGGAGATATTTGCCAAAATATTACATAATATCAAAATATTTAATGTAAATATATATTTAAGAAATTATTGCGAGCATTTTGACCGCATAATAAATTTTATTTAATCTTATTTATATCGCGTATTTTATTCACATCATATATATGTATTCATATGTATTTTATTCACAACATATATCTTAACTATATCGCGTATCTTATTTACATCATATATCTTAATTATATCGCGTATCTTATTTATATCGCGTGTATTAATTACATCGCGTAACCTATTTATATCGCGTATCTTAATTATATCGCGTATCTTATTTATATCATATTTGTTTAAATAAGTTTTGACCTTTTTAAGTTATAAAGGATAATAAAAATTGTCATAAATGTCAAATAAGTGTATAATTTTTATAATGATGTTAATATCACTATATTTATTATATTTAATCATTACAAGTAGTCAAAAATGTCAATTTCCTTAACTAAATGAGTAATTTTTATAGGGAGTAAAACAAGTCAGTTTAAAATGTCAATATCATTAAATAAGTGAGTAGTTGTTATAAGGAGTAAAATATGTAAGTCAAAAATGTTAATTTCCTTAACTAAATGAGTAATTTTTATAAGGAGTAAAACATGTCAGTCAAAAATATCAATATCACTAAATTTATTTTATTTAATTTTTACAAGTCAGTTAAAAATGTCAATATCACTAAATTTATTATATTTAATTTTTACAATTCAGTCAAAAATTGTCAATATCACTAAAAAATATAATATTAAATTTATGCACAATCGTAAATGTCAATATCACTAAATAAATGAGTAATTTTCATACAGAGTAAAAATAGCACGTTACACCGGCATGTTAGAAATAGCTTTTATCTTATCATCGTTGGGATGTATACCATGTTTGTCTATATCATGTCCCAAAAAGCGTATTTTATCTTGCAGGAATAAACTTTTGTCGAAATTGGGGGTTAATCCATACTTGATGATCTTTTCGAATACTTTTTTAATGTTCTCCAAATGTATCTCATCGTTATCACCTGTAATCAACAAGTCGTCAATGTAAAATATAACATCTTTTAAATCTCCGAAAATGTTATCCATAGTTTGTTGGAATATTGCTGACGAAGTTTTTAAACCAAACGGCAGTCTCGTACACCTATAATAACCCTTATGTGTCGATATCGTAAGAAAATCTCTTGATTCCTTGTGTATGGGTATTTGGAGAAACGCGTTTTTAAAATCTATCTTGGTAAATTTTTTGCCTTTAGATAATTTTGCGATTAAATCATTTATACGTAGTATAGGGTACTTGAAATCTTGTAAAGCAGGGTAAATAGTATTTTTGAAGTCGGCACAGAGCCTAAGTGAGCCATCGCTTTTATAAACGGGAGTGAGAGGATTAGCCCATCTAACATCTTCAACAGGTTCAATAATTTTATCGTTTATCCACTTTTGAAGTTCTTTTGTTATCAAATCAACTCTAGAATATGGTATACGCCTTGGCGGTATGATTTTCGGTGTGGCATCGTGTTTTAAACGTAATTTGACATAGCTGCGAAGCAATGGTTTTTTGTTAAGTTTAAAATTGCATTGCTTAATTAATTCTTGTATAGTATTATCATAATCATCCTCGACCATATTCACAAATTTATCTAGTATATTCCCAAAAAACTGTTATCCAGGTCCTTCCTAACAGTGCAATCTTATCACTCTGGACTACATAAGCAGTTAAGATTTCACTTTTGTCCTCGAATTTTGCCTTGACTTTGGTAGTTCTTAATACATTTATTTTCCATATCCAGTTAATTTAATATCTGATTTATTTAAGATTTTTACTCCAATCTTTTTCGCGATATGAATCGGTAGAATACTATACCTCGAGCCGGTATCAATCTGCATCAAAATAGGCATGTCGTTCAAATATACCGTGACCTTATAAGCATTGTTAGCTGTGTAATTATTATCGGTATCCATATTGTTTATGTCTAAATTGTATAAATTATATTCTTTTCTTTCTAGTTTGTCATTATCATCTTCTTTTATCTCTTCTATATTTACAGTGTTTACTTTATTTGTATATCGTGATTGATTATTGTAGTTGTTATGATATTTACAATTGCATACTTGATTTCTTCCTTGATTTCCAATATTATGATTATCTTTATATCTTTGAATACATCTTGAATCGTTATAATGTCTGTTATATCTGTAATTATAATCATTATTAAATCTATTATTATTATTATAACTAGCTCTATTAACAAATCTCGAAGAATTATTGTACGATCCTGGATAATTTGCTCTGACGTTGTTGTAATAATTCGCGTTATAATTTTGATATCTAGGGTTGTAATTATTTCCTTGATATCTGGGGTTATAACTATTTCCTTGATAAATATTTCTTTGAAAGTCATGGCCTTTTGTTGTCCATCGTTGTCTGTTATCGTAATTAGATTATTTGTCATTCATCATGGTCTCCATATCTCACCAATTGTTTATTTTCTTCTGTTTTCCTGCCTCTTTGCCTTTCTACATGTTTCACGGTTGTATCATCTTCTGTTTTTTCGTTTAAAGAAATATTTTCAACTTTAGCAATTATATTTTCTTTCAATTCTAACTCTTCAAAATCATCCTTAAAGTAAGAACTTCTGCTAATGTAATGTTTTCTTTTAACGTAATTCTGCCTAATATTTTTGCTGATTGATGAAATTTTTACTTTTTCAATAACTCTACTATCACTTAGCAAACATTCATTTTTTAAAATATGTAACTTTCGTTTTTACCTTGTACAGCTGCGTTAAATAATAATAAGTTGGAACTTGTAGATTTCCTCGGGTGTAATAATCTAAATTTTTCAATCAATATCGATGGATTGATGAAATCGGTAGGTGAACATATCGATTTAAGCTTGATATATACCTCATCTGGTAGTCTTCTTGTAAAGGAACCTGCTTTTTCGATGTCCGAGATCTGAGTGTCCTTGAAGATGTCTTCTAATCTACTCAAAAGATCGTCATTGCCTGAGTATATTGGAAATTCAATATTTATATTAACATTATTATTGGGAATCTGTTTTATATTTATTTATTTATTTACGATTTCCTCGAATATGTAGCGGAACTGCCACCATTATGTATACTAAAAATAGATGAATGTTACGAGTTTATTTTATTTCATTTAGAATAAATCAATGATAAATAAAATAAAATAAATTTTTTACTTTTTCTTTATCTGCCTTCCCAGAAAATATCATGGTGGTAGAGAATTAAGAGGCTACAAATTATACTGAAACATGATGAAGCTAGACGAAAGAGGATTATGGAAAATGATTTTAATATTATTCTAAAAACACGTAAGAGATAATTAAAATATAAAATTGAATAAAATATAATAAAATTTTAATGATGAAATATTTAAAATAAGACAATAATGATAAAACAAAATCCAAAGATTAATTAAAAGATTATTTAGTAAAAAAATTTTTAAGGATGATGAAATACGATGAGCATGATATGAAGTCGCACGTACACAGATATCAGTGGAAACCGAGATACGATAATTATGAAGATTCGAGACATACAAATAATTATGAACCAAGATATCGAAACAATTATAATCCTAGATTTATGATAATGATAGGGGGTATAATCGGCCAGGATCGTATAATAATTTTACAAGATTTAACAATAAAAATAATTATAACTACAATAACTATAGATATAATAATAATGATAATTACAAATATAATGAAAATAATTATAGATATTATATACATCAGAACGAATCGAGATACACTAGATACAATAATAATCAGAACAATAATCAGTCATACAACAACAGATTTGACGTAAATAGAATGGATGATGACAAGGCAAATGATGATTATAAAGTTACGATATACCTTAATGATTTACCAACAGTCATGCAGATCAACACCGGGTCACATTTTCGATAATGCCTATTAATATTGCTAGAAAGATAGGAATCAAAGTCTTAAATAAATCGGATACGAAACTGACTGGCTATGATGGGAAAAGAATAGAGGTGCTAAGAATCGTTAAAATAAATGTGAGTATAACTTAAAACTTAGATGCTTTTGTAGTCCAAAATGACAAAATTGCAATTCTGGGAAGGACGTGGATAAAAGTTTTTGGGAACATACTTAATAAAATTGTAAATATAATAGAGGAAAATAGAAAAGTAGATAGTAAAAATTATGAAGGTACATATTACAATAAAAAGCATGAAAATTATAATTATAAATAT